ATCTGATACCATTGAGAACAGTCTAGAGCCATCCTCTTTGGAACCCCCTTTCAGGTAGTTGAAAGCAGCTATCAAATCCCCCCTCATTCTTCTCTTCTGCAGGCTAAACAATCCCAGCTCCCTCAGCCTCTCCTCATAACTCATGTGTTCCAGACCCCTAATCATTTTTGTTGCCCTTCACTGGACTCTCTCCAATTTATCCACATCCTTCTTGAAGTGTGGGGCCCAAAACTGGACACAGTACTCCAGATGAGGCCTCACCAATGTCGAATAGAGGGGAACGATCACGTCCCTCGATCTGCTCGCTATGCCCCTACTTATACATCCCAAAATGCCATTGGCCTTCTTGGCAACAAGGGCACACTGCTGACTCATATCCAGCTTCTCGTCCACTGTCACCCCTAGGTCCTTTTCCGCAGAACTGCTGCCTAGCCATTCGGTCCCTAGTCTGTAGCTGTGCATTGGGTTCTTCCGTCCTAAGTGCAGGACCCTGCACTTATCCTTATTGAACCTCATCAGATTTCTTTTGGCCCAATCCTCCAATTTGTCTAGGTCCTTCTGTATCCTATCCCTCCCCTCCAGCATATCTACCACTCCTCCCAGTTTAGTATCATCCGCAAATTTGCTGAGAGTGCAATCCACACCATCCTCCAGATCATTTATGAAGATATTGAACAAAACCGGCCCCAGGACCGACCCTTGGGGCACTCCACTTGATACCGGCTGCCAACTAGACATGGAGCCATTGATAACTACCCGTTGAGCCCGACAATCTAGCCAGCTTTCTACCCACCTTGTAGTGCATTCATCCAGCCCATACTTCCTTAACTTGCTGACAAGAATACTGTGGGAGACCGTGTCAAAAGCTTTGCTAAAGTCAAGAAACAATACATCCACTGCTTTCCCTTCATCCACAGAACCAGTAATCTCATCATAGAAGGCGATTAGATTAGTCAGGCATGACCTTCCCTTGGTGAATCCATGCTGGCTGTTCCTGATCACTTTCCTCTCATGCAAGTGCTTCAGGATTGATTCTTTGAGGACCTGCTCCATGATTTTTCCAGGGACTGAAGTGAGGCTGACTGGCCTGTAGTTCCCAGGATCCTCCTTCTTCCCTTTTTTAAAGATTGGCACTACATTAGCCTTTTTCCAGTCATCCGGGACTTCCCCGGTTCGCCACGAGTTTTCAAAGATAATGGCCAATGGCTCTGCAATCACAGCCGCCAGTTCCTTCAGCACTCTCGGATGCAACTCGTCCGGCCCCATGGACTTGTGCATGTCCAGCTTTTCTAAATAGTCCCTAACCACCTCTATCTCCACAGAGGGCTGTCCATCTCTTCCCCATTTTGTGATGCCCAGCGTAGCAGTCTGGGAGCTGACCTTGTTAGTGAAAACAGAGGCAAAAAAAGCATTGAGTACATTAGCTTTTTCCACATCCTCTGTCACTAGGTTGCCTCCCTCATTCAGTAAGGGGCCCACACATTCCTTGGCTTTCTTCTTGTTGCCAACATACCTGAAGAAACCCTTCTTGTTACTCTTGACATCTCTGGCTAGCTGCAGCTCCAGGTGCGATTTGGCCCTCCTGATAACATTCCTACATGCCCGAGCAATATTTTTATACTCTTCCCTGGTCATATGTCCAACCTTCCACTTCTTGTAAGCTTCTTTTTTATGTTTAAGATCCGCTAAGATTTCACCATTAAGCCAAGCTGGTCGCCTGCCATATTTACTATTCTTTCGACTCATTGGGATGGTTTGTCCCTGTAACCTCAACAGGGATTCCTTGAAATACAGCCAGCTCTCCTGGACTCCTTTCCCCTTCAAGTTAGTCCCCCAGGGGATCCTGGCCATCCGTTCCCTGAGGGAGTCGAAGTCTGCTTTCCTGAAGTCCAGGGTCCGTATCGTGCTGCTTACCTTTCTTCCCTGTGTCAGGATCCTGAACTCAACCAACTCATGGTCACTGCCTCCCAGATTCCCATCCACTTTTGCTTCCCCCACTAATTCTACCCGGTTTGTGAGCAGCAGGTCAAGAAAAGCGCCCCCCGTAGTTGGCTCCTCTAGCACTTGCGCCAGGAAATTGTCCCCTACGCTTTCCAAAAACTTCCTGGATTGTCTATGCACCGCTGTATTGCTCTCCCAGCAGATATCAGGAAAATTAAAGTCACCCATGAGAATCAGGGCATGCGATCCAGTAGCTTCCGTGAGCTGCCGGAAGAAAGCCTCATCTACCTCATCCCCCTGGTCCGGTGGTCTATAGCAGACTCCCACCACTACATCACTCTTGTTGCACACACTTCTAAAGTTTAGTGTTAATGCATTCCATGTGGTGACATAGAACACGCGTCTAACATCTGGTTTGGACCATCAGGAAGCTGCAGTCATTGGGGTATTTCATTGTTCTGGGAAACTGGAATTAGCAGTAGCATTATTGATGGCTGACTAGACTGTCACCAGATCTGCCTACCAAAGTTTCCTGGGCCAACTTGCTGCTTCCAGGATTATTACCATAAGGGGTTTCCTAAGCTTTCTCAAGACGCTTCATATTAGAGGAATTGGTGGGTAGGCATACATTACCCTCAAGGATCCTGGGATGAGGAATGCAATGGATTGTGAACCAGAGCTCAGACCCTCCCTGGAACAGAAATTGACATTTTGCCTCTGAGGAAGTCCACGACTAGAAGCCCTCGCTGGTGGAAGTGTTCTGTATGATGGAATCCTTGACTGAACATTTGCGATCTCATGAGAACTTTCTGCTTCGTGATTTGCTAGGGTATCTTCTTCTGACAGGTGCAGAGCTACTAAGGTGATGTGACAGCCTAACACACCAATTCCCAACAGAGAAGGAGGACAATCAAGCCCTTGCTTGTTCACATAGAACATTGTTGCAGTATTATCCGTCATAGTTCGGCCCCGAACCATGGGCAGGAAAGCTACACAGGCTAATCAAAAAGCTCTAGAACATTTATATGTAGGGAAGGATTAAGTCTCCTTGAGTGTCCAAAGGTCTTTTTGATTTGGTCTTAGTGAGCTCTCCACAGGATGCAAGGACAGCTGTGTAATTAATGAGGGGCTTAAACCAACAAGTTTTGCAGAAAACTTTTTTGGAATGAAATTAATATTGTCTGATTTTTCTGATACCAGCTACTTTAAAGAATTCTGATAGCAAAACCTTTCAATAAGTGTCACAGTTTAAAATATTTTCTTCTTTTAAAAGAAGAACGAAGGACAGTTCTGCTTCCCTGTTGATGTTTACGTGTTTTCAGCAGGGAAGACTGGACAGGCCTAAGACATCAGACATGCTCAGCTCATTCCTTTTCAGCCTCTTCAGCAGCAGCATTGGCATGAGACCAACCAGGTTCCAAACTCCTCCCCAGGACTTGCAGAGTAATTCCACTGCACCACAGCATTTCCCAGGAATCACTGCTTTCCAGTTTCAATCCCATTCAGCTCCCAGTGTGCTCAATATCAAAGGTGGGGTAACCCCCTCCCTCACCTCTCCACTGTGCACATGCACATACTTGTGCCTCCTCCTCCTCCTCCCCACATCTGAAGAAAGATCCACCCCTTATGCAACTGCTTGTTTCCTCAAATCCCTTAGAGAGGCTGAAGGGATACCCCCCTTCTGTCTTCAAGTCTTTCTGGTGAAAATAGCATGCCTCCTTTCTCCCTGCAGCCTAATGCCTGACTGCCTTCTCCAGACCTATGGATGAATCCATCCCCACACCACCCACTGCCTCCCCTCTCTCCTAGTCCATGGTAGTGGTAGAAGTGAAAAAGAAAGCATCTTTCCTGGCCTGACTGTTTGAAGTTTCTCCCCAGGCCCCATGGATTAGTCTGGGGTTGTTATGCATACCCCATTTAGTGCTAGATGCTCCCCAAGCCCTTGAAAAATATTTGGGAGTGAAGGGGCAAGCCATCCAGCCCCCATTTCTCGCCACTGCCATCCTGGTGTGGAACTGAAGGGGGACTTCTGAATATACACAGGCTCCCATTACTCCTCAACCCTGTGCAGGGGCCTAAGAAGTGAAAAAAGGGACTTCTCCCAGCTGCCCATTGCTTCCTGGCTCCATGCAGAGACTCTGGGAGAAGAAGGAGACACTTTTCTGGTCTTAAACTCAAACAGCAACTCTTGTGCCTTGAGAAAATTGTGCATGTGCGCTCTTCCACTCAGTGCAGGGCCAAGAGTGATGTCTCATAAGTACTGAACATGAAGACAAGGGAGTGCTACTGACCAGCATAACAGAGAAATCAACTGTACACAAAGTGCTGTCAAATGGATAAAATAACCAAACTGAGAAGGAGATTTTTTTGCTGGCTTTGCAGTTATTGTAATCTTAGATGCTGCAAATAGGTTGAAACAGTTTTCTGGAAGATCAGGCAGAGCACATGCCCTCAAGTTTCTAGTAGCACTTTGAGCTGAGAAGACAGTAAACTTCACAAAGTGAACTAAAGCCATTTTGTCTTCCTAAATTAACAGGTAGTTCCAATGCCTGTTCTGCTTTTACAAGCAGCAGCACAAAACTGTCAAGACTTAGATCAATTTCACTGTTGCAGTTCAGAACCTTACAGATACTTGTGAAAGATGAGAATGTCAATTTTACACTGTTAAAAAAATCACTGCCTATTAAGACTTAAGCACTCCTGTTTTTAAGATAAAAAGGCCATCCCCTCTGATTTTATTGTTGTTTGCAACTTGATAGCTGCAATTTGGAATTCATTTGTATATGACTCTATGGTTTGCCTTACTTGTAGACAATTCCAAACCTTAGTTCTGATCTCATTCAATAGCTGGCCCCCATCTTCACTGGTAGTGGTCATGAACTACTGTACAGGTAAGTAATCATGTAAACATTAAAATTCTGATTTACTGGAATTGATCCTTTCAGGACTGTTTAATACAACCATTAGGTTACGTTAAAGAAAGCCAAAAGTCAGCGATTATGTCTAAATATGAAGGAGTTAAGAAAAATGAACTGCAGTAACCCTATGCAAAAGCTTACCATTCAGTGGGTCCCGTCTTTTTTCTGTTAAAAAGACAAAACAAAAAAATATTTATTCAAAAGGTAAAACTGAATTCTTCAACATTACACATATCTCCATAACTTGTAGTTTTACAAATTATAAAGACTTCCTACATTTGAATTTTACTCTTCTAGTAATACGCAAATTATCCATAATTGCAATTTTGTTTTATTTTAGTAGTTATATTTTTTGTCCAAGAACAGAGGAAAAGATACCAGATTTAGCCCATTTATAAACTGATTTAAATCTGAAACACAAAGTTTAGCACAACAGATCAGTGAAATCATGTATATATCATGAAAGCCCCCGATCCTGCAAGAGTTTACAATTGGGACTCCTCATGCTTACAGCTAAGCATAGGCTTAGTCTTTGGAAAGTCAGGGCCTTAGATTATATGCCACAGAGAGCCGAATCACAGCAAAATTAGAAATTACAAAACTATAAAACCCACATTAGGAAAGAATTAGTTGTTTGAACAGTTTACACTGAGTAGGACTGTGTGGACCTAACTAACTTTTTTTCCAACTGAAAATTTGATTCAGGCCAATTTGAGGCCGTAACATTTTGTACGGTGACGTGTTCAAATAATGTTAGTTTTCAAATGAAAAATAAAAAAAATGTGTCTGATGCAAAGATTGTTAAAGCAGACTTCTAAAGAGAATGCACTATACTCTGTAAAGTCCTCTCTGAACAGACACCATGCTTTAGTCATTTATGTAAAACTACTCACAATCTGAAGTGCTTATATAGTGCCTTTATCAGTAGATCTCACAGCACTTCACAAAGGAAGCATCAACCCCATTTCACAGATGGGAAAACTGAGGCAGAGGTGAAGCAACTTGCCCAAGGTCACCCAGCAGGCCAGTGGCGCTGTTGGGATTAGAATGCAGGTCTCCCAAAGTCACAGTCCACTGCTCTATCCACTAAGAAACACTGTCCCCACTGAAGCAGAAAATATTACCATTTTGAAATATTAGAATTTAATTGCAAGTATTTCATATAGATCTAAAGCTGAACAAGCCAAATAGGGCCAACTTGGCCACCAACCTACACCAACCTAACTTTAACAAGCAGAGGGGTCAGCTTTGATGTTCAACTCTACCATTTAAAATGGCTTTCCCTCCAACAATATTATTCTCTTCTTCACCCATATGCACTCTTCTGTTTGTAAATGCTTATGTGTGAGACATATTTGGGATCAGCTCATTTCTTTTTTGGAATTAAAGTGGGAAGGTTTATTTTAGATTTACTTTACTGCACAAATTGGTGTGTATTTTTATTCATCTATATTAGCTTCCTGATCATCTCTCCTAACGCAGCAGGCAGCTAAATATGAAGTTTCTGGTTTAAAAGCAGCCTTGATGTTAAAGGCACTGAGCACCCACACTACAAATGAAGTCAACCGAAGTGGCACGTACTCAGCATTTTTGATTAAGTATGGATTTAAGGTGACCAACTTCTTCAAAGCAGGGTGACTAATTACAACTTTCACAGCTACCTATTTTCCAGTAAGGCAACTGAAACTGAGCATAAAAGCTCTGGTGAATAGCAACTGGATTGCAGGGGAAGTAGCAGCTTTCCTCCTGCAGTTAGATGTTCAAAGAAAAGCTGCCAGCTGTTACTCTCTAGAAATGGCTGGACGGTTTTTAAGAGGACTCTAGAGATCTAAATTGGGAGTCAGTGTAAGACTTCTAGTTCTGTTCCTTCAGAATTTAAGGTAAAGGCAGGTAAGGAGATCTTTTCAGGGGAGGTGAAGGGAGAAGGGACTGACAAGAAGCAAAGGGCACAGCTGCAGGTCTACAAGAAGGTTAAATGACCTTCCCAGCCAAAACCTGTAGCATTTTAGAACAAAAAACTCTCCCTAACACCCCACAAACCAATACAGCTTGGGTGTGGGGGTGGAAGATACAGTAAAGACTTTGCTCCTATTTCCTTTTATTTTATCCATTTAGCTACATGGGCTAAAGACTTTTGTTTTGTGGGAGTTTGCCCTTGTTGCCAAGAAGGCCAATGGCATTTTGGGATGTATAAGTAGGGGCATAGCGAGCAGATCGAGGGACGTGATCGTTCCCCTCTATTCGGCATTGGTGAGGCCTCATCTGGAGTACTGTGTCCAGTTTTGGGCCCCACACTACAAGAAGGATGTGGATAAATTGGAGAGAGTCCAGCGAAGGGCAACAAAAATGATTAGGGGTCTAGAACACATGAGTTATGAGGAGAGGCTGAGGGAGCTGGGACTGTTTAGCCTGCAGAAGAGAAGAATGAGGGGGGATTTGATAGCTGCTTTCAACTACCTGAAAGGGGGTTCCAAAGAGGATGGCTCTAGACTGTTCTCAATGGTAGCAGATGACAGAACGAGGAGTAATGGTCTCAAGTTGCAGTGAGGGAGGTTTAGATTGGATATTAGGAAAAACTTTTTCACTATGAGGGTGGTGAAACACTGGAATGCGTTACCTAGGGAGGTGGTAGAATCTCCTTCCTTAGAGGTTTTTAAGGTCAGGCTTGACAAAGCCCTGGCTGGGATGATTTAACTGGGAATTGGTCCTGCTTCGAGCAGGGGGTTGGACTAGATGACCTTCTGGGGTCCCTTCCAAACCCTGATATTCTATGATTCTATGATTCTCAACTGTGCTTAATTAGGAGTCAGTCACAGCCATGTACCACCAAAAACCTCCGATCACCCAATCAGAACATGTTCAGTAATTGTTCTTTCCCTCCATACTACCTCTCATTTTATTCTCTCCTTCCTTCACCCAGATTCTCTTTCTTCCATCCATTCCTCTTCCAACTCAATTTCTTTCTCCTCGTTTACTATCCAGTCAATCCATCCTCCTTTCCTTGTTTACCTGCACCCAGTCCTACCAGACCATTCTGCTATACTCTTCCCTCCACACTGTACTTTCTCTTTTGAGGAACACCAGGGGCCTCCCCTCTTCTTCCTGTCTTCCAAATCTCTATTTTAGCCTTGCCAGATGAGCTCCTGGGGTAGCTGTTGCTGCTGCTCCTGGGCACCTCTGTTAATCAGTGTCCTTATCACATCCCAGCACTTCGAGTAGGAAGCGGTTGGCAGAAAACGGGGAAGAGCAGGAAGCAGCAAGTGGGCATTCTATGTGCAAGCCTCAGCTCCAAGACCTAGTTCACAAGGGCATAGAATTGTCCTGCTCAGCCCCTGCCAATGATGAAAAGCCTCAAGGGACACCTGGAAACTTTCCCAGTAGTCCTGCGGGCTAGTCAGAGCCTCCCAGGAGTACTTTGGCAGTGTGACCACTTGCCAATATGTCAGGTGGCACCTGTTCCATGTGAAGTTTATTTTGAGATATACACTAGAGCGGTAGGATTCTTGTAAAAAACAGAAAAAAATGAACATTCCAGTGTTTGGCATTATTAAAATAATTCCTTGGAAGTCTAGAGTATCACCCATTACCAAAACTGCTCAATATTTATGACTATTCTAATACCATGTGTAGACAGCACTAAGAGCATTAGAATACATTATTTCTACATCTGATGAATCAAGGTGGAGATACATCAGAAGCATTACGTAAACATATCAATTTACTAATCAAGCTATACTGTGTAGTCTTTAGATAAGTGAGAAATACAGTAGCTATAATTCAAACACCCAGAATTAGATAAAATCCTGTCTGAGGTATATACAAATTCAGAACTCCATCTGGTGGCTTGATCTGAGAACTTCACGAGTTCTGTACATGAAAGGAAAAAAACCTAGAAATGAATTAAAAAGGAGAAAACCAATCAACTGAAAACTATATAATTAAGTAGCTGTTGATTATGTAGCGTTTTAAATTAAAACGGAGAAACTTTACAAAAAGGATGAATAAGTCACAGTGTTACTATGGTGCATAAAACATGAAGTTCAAACACACAAAGCGGTACAGGTTAATAATGGCATGCTTATATTGTGTTGTAAAGTAAAAGTTTCTTTACATGAAAAATACTATATTAAAAACTAACATTATTTTTATGAAATCATCTTTTTTCTGTATTTTTGAAGAAAGTTTACCATGGCCAACATTGTGCAGAAGTCTGCTCTGCAGCCATATATGAATAAAGGCTTTTAAAGTTTTAAAATGTTGCTTTGCTTTAGTATCATCTTTATGAGAGTGAAACTTGGGGCTTGTGAAAGTTGCAAGGCTGATAACCTTGGGGAACATATTTACCCAATGAACAGTTAAAGCACAGACACCATTCCTGCGAGTTTCCACCACTGTACCTCACTAACACATTCTAACTCTGGACATTCACAAAAGGACTTAAGTTTTGTGATGCCAAGTGTCACAATATCTAACTTTTAAGTGCCTAGCTAATCACAGGAACTACACTGCAGGTGTATTCAGGTTTTGGCCTGATTGATTACCAATTGTTAGGGCAGCAGATTTGTCACAGCTCTTTTTTTTTTTTTTTTTTTAAATCAAAAATAATGGCACAGTCATAGTAAATTTAGTAAAAGTCACTTGACTGCTATCTGATTTTTGATAAATATCCTCTTTGCGTCATCAAGGGGGCATCAATCATTCGCAGCAGCACCATCTATCCCCGGAGCCACAATCCTAAACTTGGAGCCAGTGTCCCTTGGCGCTGGACATAGCACACTGCTCTGGGTGTTGCAACCAGGTTCATGGGGGGTTGCAGCACCCTCTAGGTTTCACTCACCCAACCCTCCATCATGATGGGAGGGATGGTTGGGCCATACCTGGAGCAGGGAGCCAGCCCCACAGGACACAGGAGCTGCAGAAGCCACCACTGTGGGATGAGACACTGACAGAGAAAAAACTCAAACGGGGGAGACAAAAGTAACAAATTTTCTGTTTTTTTTTTCATGCCATAACACACATGTAGCCTTACCAATTGTGACTAAGACATTTCTCCACTAATGTCTCGATTGATGCCAACAATCAATTTCACATGGACTACTGGACACACCAGATAGTAAGAGATTTCAGTTACTAATCATTTGGGCCAAATTTAAACAATAGAGTTAGTTAAGAGAAACCCAGAAATGAATGGCTGGTCAGTTTAATTTGCCCACAATTTACATAAAGATTTCCAGTTCACAAGCAAACTTTCTTTACCCCTTCCTGTCTGTACTTTCAAATACCACATATTAGAGGAGCTTCAAATTGCAAAGAAACTTTAAGAGGAATAAACTTTTGTATTACCTTCAGGAAATTTGTACTGTATATTTTTCTATATCACACACATGAAATAAGCTTACACAGGGAAATTAATGCCTAAATATGGCAATAAGTTCTTAAATAGCTTTCAGATATAGAAGCATCAACTAATCCCCCAGACACCCATAGCCTAGCCTCAATTTAATGACATGTTAAATTGAATATTTACCAGATTTTCTTTGCCGTCGTCCAAGCAAATCAGTTATTGTTTTCCGGAATTTTTTAGCTTCTTCTTCATTAGCAAAATTAAGACCAACCTGGCATGTCTGAAAGAAAACATCAGTTTTTTCCCCCCATAGAGACCAAGAAAGTTGTTTTAAAGTTTTCTAAAAAAAGCTTAAATTGTGAAATATTCTAAAAATTAAGTAAACAGACTTTGTTTATGAAGGAATAAGCTGGAAACAATTAAGACTCATCACCTTATAGTTGTAAGTGAAGAACGTAGAAGCAAATATTAATGTCAAATTTAAAAACATTCAAATTGTGGATTTTTTTTAACAAGATGTGTGAAGTCCCATTTTGTCATATCTGAGCAAAATTTCAAGTACAAAGAATGACAAAAATGAAAATTTTACGTTAAGGGTACATAAAAATTGCTTATGTACTTGAAAATGCTCGTTTGGTGACACTAATGAAGCAACTATCAGTTGCAACTGAGGATGTTACTTCCTTGCCAGAGAAAGAGCACATTAAAGAGGTTTTTTTGTGCTCCTGTTCCATTCGTAGTTTAGATGTTCTATTTTATCAGTGACATTAGAAAAAGTTCTTATTTATAATTAAATCTGCAACAAGTTGCTAGAAAGAAGATATAGGTAATACTGTACTTTATAAAACTGTTTGATTTACAAAGTGAAAGGTGAAAAAACATATGAGATATTAAAAAGTTATTGTACAAAGAAAAAAAGCAGGACAAACATTTTAAAAATAGCTATTCAAGAATTAAGCTAATATTGAAACTTACATCTCCAGCAAAGGTATGAAAATATCCTTTAGGACTATTATATACAAAATTATTGTACAGTTCCTGCTCCCACAAGAGTTTCCCATCCTGGAAAGGAAAGAAATGCAGATACTGAAAACTGAAGATAGTAATAAAAAAAAGAATGACTAGACAAACTTGTATTGCAATAGTGCTCAGAGGCCACAACTGGAGACCACAGTCCTATTTTGTTAGACACTGTACATGCACAATGAAGAAGAGATGGTGTCTTCCCCACCGAGCTTACAATCTAAGTCAGATGATTACTGGAGTTTGCAGGAAAGCCAAATTATTCTTACAGGTTACTATATTATTGCCCAAGTTTCCAGATATTATCAAACTATATCCTTCAAAATTTTATACATATACAAGGACACTGGTCAAAATTTAAATAACGGGACAAAATAAGACAGGGGCTATGGAGCCTTTCATTTATAGGTTGCGGTGTCATATCAAGGTCAGGTTTGTAACAACTGGAAATAGTTATCTTCCAGAGGACTATGAAATTTCACCTTTGCAAAGTGTTCTAAAATGTCTGAATGAAAGGTGTTACAAGAGTGCAATATCAAAAGAATAGGTGGTCTTAGCCCAGTGCCTAATGATCAAGTGACAAAAATCACAGACGTACAGCTCCTCAGCGCTCAAGTCTCTTTTGAGCATGGGATTTAGGCACCTTTGAAGGCTTTATCTCTGTCTGAATTGACACGCATTGGCAGGGTAGAATTAAATATCAGATAGTTACACAGCATACTTAAATATGAAAAATGCCCCCAACAATTTCCTCCCCTCCCCCATCATAGAAACGTGGGGCTAGAAGGGACCTCAAGAGATCATCTAAATCATCTCTCTGTGCTAAGGCAGGAATAAGTATACCCAGACCATCCCCGACAGAGGTTTGCCTAACCTCTTCTTAAAAACCTCCAAGGATAAGGATTCCACAACCTCACTAGTAACCTGTTCCAGTGCTTAACTATCCTTACAGTTAGGTTAGATAATAGGAAAAGCATTCTATATCTTCCTTGCTGCTGGGGTGAAAGTAAAACACATGACTTACCGGTATGAGGGCCGGCGCCTCGGGCGGAAGGGGCAGGGCTGGGGGGGACAGCGTCCCCCAGCCAGACCATCCACACTAGCTGGCCCACGCTGCGACAGTCCTTTAAGCAGGGTCCTTTGCTGTGGCAGTGCTTTAACATCGCTGCCCCCGCATCAGTGGCCCTGCTGGTAGGGACCTGGCAGGGCCGCCAAAGGGAGTGGGGGGTGGGAGGGGCACAAAAGGGGCAGCGATGTTAAGAACAGCAGGGTGTGGGCCGGTACTGTCGGCCACTTTTTACCGGTATGCTGTACCAGCCTGTATTGGCTTACTTTCACCCCGCTTGCTGCAAACTAAGAGGACAAACAGGGAGAACGACTGATCACTGTCCATGTTGTTAACCTTTTTCATATTTGAAGCTTGTGTCTCCCTCATTCCTTGCCTTCTCTTCTCTAGAACTGCACCTGTTTCTTCTTTCACCTTTCTTTACAGGTCATGATTTCTAAACCTTTTATCATTTTGTTGCTCTCTTCTGGTGTGTCTCCAATTTGTTTACATCCTTTCTGTAAGCGTGGTGCCCACAACTTAAGTGGAGGCCTCACCAGGGACAAGCAGAGCTGAACAATTACTTCCCATGTCTTATGGCAATCCTGTTAGATACATCCCAGAAGGACATTTGCCATTTTCACAACAGCACACACTCGTGTTCAATTTGTGATCCATTATACCACTCAGATTCTTTTCTGCAGTACTGCCTCTCCAGTTATTCCCCATTTTGTATTTGGGCATTTGATTTTCATACTTAAGTGAAGTACTCCATTTGCCGTTATTGAATTTCATAGTGTAGATTTCAGATCAATTCTGCAATTTATCAAAATAATTTTGAATTTCAATCCTGTTCTCCACAGTGCTTACAACTCCTCCAAGCTTGCTGTCATCCACAAATTTTATAGGAAGACTCCACTCCATCATCCAAGTCATTAATAAAAATATTAACTACTACTGGACCCAGCACAGACTCCTGTGGGATGCCACTTGACAGGTTCTCCCAGTTTGACAGTAAGCCATTGATTCTGAATACAGTCTTTCAGTCAGTTATACACACCACTCATAGTAATTTCATCAAGACCATATTTTCACAGTTTGCTATCAGAATGTCACATGGGACTTTATCAAAGTCTTACTAAAATCTAATAGGCGTAATTCTTGCATTATTCACTTTATAACATCCCTTTATGTAATTCATGCAAACAATTCAAGGAAACATTTAATATAAAATGACCTTATCTTAGCAAGTAAAAAATTAGACAGAGAAATGTTTCTTACCTTGATGTCAAATATTCTGATAAAATAAGACCTTTGTGGATTGTCTTTTACAAGGCAGGCTACTCCACAGCATTTTTTTGACCACATGGCATTGCGATCTGCTGCATATATCTGGACAACTGCTGAAGACATTGTCTAAAAAAAGATGAGAAAGTTCACACTGGTTAAAGCTTAAAATTAAGAGTTCCACATTCCTTCTTCCAGAGAAACCTACACCTAGTTTGATTCTATGTATCAGGCAGCAGCAACAAATCACCAGTTGTCAAGCTCAGGTGGTCTAAACTTTTTTTTTTTATATCATAGAATCAGACTAACGTCAGAAGGGACCATTATGATCGTCTAGTCTGACCTCCTGCACAACGCAGGTCACAGAATCTCACCCACCCACTCCTGTAACAAATCCCTAACCTATGTCTGAGCTACTGAAGTCCTCAAATCGTGGTTTAAAGACTTCAAGGTGCAGAGACTCCTCCAGCGAGTGACCCGTGCCTCATGCTGCAGAGGAAGGAGAAAAACCCCCAGGGCCTCTGCCATTCTTTCCTGGGGGAAAATTCCTTCCCACCCCAAATATGGCGATCAGCTGAACCCTGAGCATGTGGGCAAGACTCACCAGCCAGACACCCAGGAAAGAATTCTCTGTAGTAACAGGCCATTGGGCATATTTACTGCTAATAGTCAAAGATCAATTAATTGCCAAAATTAGGCTATCCCATCATACCACCCCCTCCATAAACTTATCAAGTTTAGTCTTGAAGCCCGATGTGTCTTTTGCCCCCACTGCTCCCCTTGGAAGGCTGTTCCAGAACTTCACTCCTCTGATGGTTAGAAACCTTTGTTTAATTTCAAGTCTAAACTTCCTGATGGCCAGTTTATATCCATTTGTTCTTGTGTCCACATTGGTACTGAGCTTAAATAATTCCTCTCCCTCTCCGGTATTTATCCCTCCGATATATTTAGAGAGAGCAATCACAGCTCCCCTCAGCCTTCTTTTGGTAAGGCTAAACAAGCCAAGCTCTTTGAGTCTTCTTTCATAACACAGGTTTTCCATTCCTCAGATCATCCTAGTAGCCCTGTGATCAACCAATATTCTGAGGTACTTCTCCTCCTCTGTTACTTCCAAGTGATGCGTCCCCAGTTTGTAACAATAATTCTTATTAATCCCTAAATGAATGACCTTGCACTTTTCACTATTAAATTTCATCCTATTACTATATCCTTTTGTAAGATCCTTTAGATGTTCTTTTAAAAAAGAATAGGATTTTGAGAATTCTTAACCAGACACCAGCTAGTAGAAATAAATACAAGCAAGAAGCGGATAGGTAACTGGGATGATGGTACAGGTGATGGAGTTAGCATCTGTTTGCAAAGCACCTATGCAAAAGTTAATGGGAATGTGAGAACACTCAATAGAGAGAATTATTTAATTGACTCAATTAGGACTTCCTTACACTAGGATTTTTAATAATGTTTTCACATGTTAATTAACATGTTTCCTGTCAACTCTAGAATTTATGATGAGGTTAGTTAACAAACAATTAAAAACAATTGAGGGGTGTCTCCAATGGGATTTTTTTTAAAGATGAGAAACAGATTCATTTTTCAGGTTTCAGAGTGGTAGCTGTGTTTGTCTGTATCAGCAAAAACAATGAGAAGTCCTTGTGGCACCTTAGAGACTAACAAATGTATTTAGGCATAAGCTTTCAAGGGCTAAAACCCACTCCATCAGATGAATGGAGTGGAAAATACAGAAAGTTTTGCTTTTTTCTGCAGCAAGTAATGTTTTAGAAACTAGGGAAAAGCAGCAAATTCCTACTCTTCTGCATCAACCACCAATGAGGGCCACACACATGGCAATTTATGCTTTCCACTGATACTCCACATTACTCAACTTCTGCAAGATTGATGCATAAGTAATTCTTAGTCTCATTTCAGGATCCAGAAACTTGGAAGCTCTGCTGGCAAAGCTCTTAACTTATTCATGTTTACTGTACCAATAGATGTTGCAAGTCAACCACTATGAATATCAACTATTTGAGTCTAACTTCAAAGCCAGTTTATTTTTCCAGTTTATAAGAACTGCCTGTATCGTAGCCTGAGAACATTGAACCAAGTCTCAATTTTATATATCTCAGAATTGTAGTACTGGAAGGGCCCTCAAGAGGTCATCCCCAATCCAATCCCCTGCACTCATGGCAGGACTAAGTATTATTTAGACCATCCTCAACAGGTGTTTGTCTAACCTACTCTTAAAAATCTCCAATGATGGAGATTCTACAACCTCCTTAGGCCATTCATTCCAGTGCTTAACTATGCTGCCAGTTAGAAAGTTTTTCCTATTGTCCAATCTAAACCGCCCTTGATGCGATTTAAGCCCACTGCTTCTTGTCCTATCCTCAGAGGTTAAGGAGAACAATTTTTCTCCCTCCCCTTTGTGACAACCTTTTATGTACTTGAAAAATGTTATGTCCCCTCTCAGTCTTCTCTTCTCCAGACTAAACAAAACCATTTTCCTCCCCAATTTTCCCTCATAGGTCATGTTTTCTAGACCTTTAATTTTTTTTTTTGTTGCTCTTTGCTGGACTTTCTCTACATAATTTCATTTAAAGTATGTTGACTGATGTGTCAGATTTTTTTGAAGTCATCCAATTTCAAGAGTTCAATTTCTGACAAAACATCCTGTGACATTCTGCATTCCAAAGCACCCCATATTTACCACAGTGATGTAATTATGATATGTTTTGTACAAAATATGCCTTGAGGTATTATTCTAAAAGTCTTGATCTGCTAAACATTAATATCTCATTGGATAGTATGTGCTGTCATTGTATGTGAAGTTATAAAGTTTTGCTATGTATGTGCTACTGAAAGATACTGTAAACTTGGAAACACCCACAACTAGCCTTTCAGGTACAACAGTGAAGAAGCTAGACAGTGCTAATGGCCCATCAATAAAGACAATGGACCACAGAAAAGGCTTGTCCTCACCTGGAAATCTTTCAGACAGCCTATGGATAATGACAGGTTTCAGAGTAGCAGTCGTGTTAGTCTGTATCCACAAAAAGAACAGGAGTACTTGTGGCACCTTAGAGACGAACAAATTTATTAGAGCATAAGCTTTTGTGGGCTATAGCCCACTTCATTGGATGCACAGAATGGAACAAATAGTAAGAAGAAATATATATACATACAGATAAGTTGGAAGTTGCCATACAAGCCGTGAGAGGCTGATTAGTTAAGATGAGCGCTTATCAGCAGGAGAAAAAAAAAACTTTTGTAGTGATAATCAAGATGGACCATTTAGACAGTAGACAAGGATCCTCACACCTTCTTGTCAACTATCTAAATGGGCCAGCTTGATTATCACTACAAAAGTTTTTAGTCATCGGAGGGTGCCATTGATATTGCTCATACTGGAAAGAAGTTATATTTTTATGAGTACACCACATTTCTTGGTCCATGAACCAGGTTTGGTTGTTTATTGTTACATTACCCTTTTTTTATGCCAACACATATATGTTGGTTTTATATAATTTCCACCAACCATTTTTTTTTACTGTAAATTTATGGTGAGATTACCTTATTTTAAATTTCACTTTCCTTTTTTAACGAAGGTACCCCATTTTTATTGGGCTTCTATTGTTTTCTTTCATTCTAATTCAGGTATTTATCATAATTTATTTTCTTCTGAAACTATTTTATAGGACCCTGTTTCATTTCCCCAGGCGCTGACATATATTACCAGATATACTTCCTGTGCCTTTCCACTGGTTACACCGGAAAGGACAAGAGTGCACTGGCGTATGGTACGTGTACGCACTTGCACCTTCCAGGTATCTTTGAATGACTGATTAATGTAAGGGTTTTGTTTTTTAGTTTCACTACTACTGAGGGGGACACATGGGCCTCCCAGATGCATTCCCTAAGTTAGGCAGCAAAACAGCCTTTTCAGACCCTAAAGAATTAGTCCCAGACATACATGAGAAACTTCTACTCAATGCACAACCAACCACACTAGAGCATATGAAGGAGAAGGAAGAAAGGGAGGAGAAAGTAGGACAACCTGGGTGACCACTCCATCTGAGTCAGATTAGGAGTTCACAGCAGTTTGGCTAGCCAGGTCTATTCCCAGAGGGATGACATCCTAGGATCTAGATAGAATATAAACATTCTATAGGAAAAAAGTGAACTGAATGTACAACACAATGGTGTCAGAACAAATCTCTAGACCAGTGGTTCTCAACCTTTCCAGGCTACTCTACCTCTTTCAGGAAGTCTTATTTGTCTTGCGTATTCCAAGTTTCACCTCACTTAAACTAGCTGCTCACAAAATCAGACATAAAAATACAAAGTGTCAGAGCAAACTATTATTGAAAAATTGCTTACTTTCTCATTTTACCACATAATTATAAAATAAATCAATTGGAATATAAATATTGTACTTGCATTTCAGTGTGATACTTGAGCCTGTTTTTCACTTGTGGGCTTTGTCTGAAGCCTGAGCCCCACTCCCTGGGGCTGAAGAATGTAACAGCTTCACAGAGCCCCCTGTGGTGTGGGGTCCTGTTCAACTGCCCAGCTTGCTACTCTCTAATGCCAGCCCTGCACTTGCAATCCTCCTGAACCCATCCCAGGATCCCCGTGGGGGTCACAACCCCCAGGTTGAGAAACACTGATCTAGATGAGTTGAGTACCCCCTGGAAGATCTCTGCGTACCCCCAGGGTTGAGAATCACTGCTCTAGACAGCTTAAACCGACAACTTTAAGTATAAACTCCTATTTCTCTCAATGGAATGAACTCCGAAGCCTGCTAATTGCATGTTTAAATTTCAGTGTTAACAATTTCACCTGAGTAAAGGAAACAAAACAGAAGTTGGGTAATCATATGAAAAACTGCACAAGGTACTGTGACTGATCTCATTTTATAGCATCCTAAATGGATGGAGCTTGTGCAAGTATTTGGCAGTGTGGTTTCCAACTCCACCATCATTATGAGGGCTCTACTGTTCTTGTCTCATATTTGTTTTCCAATAATCACTTTCACTTCTTGGTAAGACTCCTTAACATAGGAACATGATAGTACCGGCCCTTCAACCTGGCCAAGTATTCAGAAGATGCTTAGCAGAAACTGGGAGAAG